TGTATAGTTATTAATATCTTTGAATGTAAATCATGAGAGACAGGTGTGAAAAATCCTTATTATGTACGTAACGTCTTGTTTCAAAGAAACTGCTTTTTCTCATGCGATAACAAGCGATTGAAATAGAACAGACTAGAATTTGCCAACTAGTTGTCAAATGTTGTTACTTGCCCGCGATTTATACAACGCAAGTGAAATAAATCGCGCATATCTCGTGCATCGACCATTTCTTTTGTACTAACAGCAGGATCGTAAAGTAGGACGGTCCGCTTTCTGGCCTTAACACACAATTCACCATAAATTGCAAGAATAATTTACTCGAGTGCAACCAGTGTTTATTAAATCGAAAGATAAATATTGCTCACGTTAAGAAAAACCTTTTTTAATTTCCCTTCTTAATCGCCGAAGTTATGCAACCTTACGTGATGTCGCGACAAATTCTCGGGAAACATTGAAAGCGGATGAAAGTGATTTTTAAAAATGCGAAAAATCGACGCGATCGATACAATTTTGACAATAAGGGCCGAACCCCGGCGAATGCCCCTTCTGAACCGTCTTATTCCTCACCCTTCGACTTTTCCGAGTAAACAGGGATGATTCGCGCAAGATATCGTAAATATGATACAGCTAGTTTCCCTCTCCGGCCCGACGCACGATATCTCTTTCCACTTCCTTCTTCCACTTTTTTAAATTACTTTCGTTTGCCATCGATATATACTTCGCTATATATCGACATACATATAGAATATACCTACATAAATTATGTAACATCCCGCGCTCCCTCGCATAGGACCACGTACATCCTCTTTGCACTTCTTCGCCCCCTCCCCCACCCCCCGTTCTTTCACTCTCACGCATTCACGTTGCACGCATAACGCATGCACGCATTGTGTTTACATCAGGCCTATCCAATTTGAGCTCCAGAGTTAAAACGCAAAGCCATTGACACAAAAAATTCAATGTATGAAAAAATAAGATTTTAGAAACTGTAAAATGTTGATAAGCGTCACTCAGATGCATATCCAAATACTTTACCGAAATCCAGAGTTGGTTAACTTTTTTTTTTAACTAAGTTAAATTAAAGTTAGTTCAATAGCCTTGAAAATTTAATTTAATTAAAATACAAGTTAATCCAGAATGAAATTAATTGAATTAAAAGTTAAATTAATAAAAAAAATAATCGAAAAGTTAAAAGTTAAATTTGGTCCGAACGAACAACTAAAAAAAAAGAAAATGAAAAAGTTTGATTATTTTACATAATTTTTCGTATTTTTCCTTTCTCACAGCATATTTATTAAAGAATCTGGTTATTTTTGCTCACAAGTAACGATTATACAATATAAAATTATTAAATTATTCTCTCGTATTGTGTTTGAAGATTGGCTTAAAAAAAAATCAAATTAAAAGTTAATAGTTACCGATAAAATGTAACTAAATTAAGTTAAAATTAATTAACTTTTTAACTTTTTAATAATAACTTAACTTTTATCTTTTTAACTTAGCACTATCCAATCCTGTCGAAATTTTATCGACATTGAATTTTTTTGCATCGATGGCTTTGCGTTTTTGACTCTGGAGCTCAAATTGGACAGGCCGGGTTTACACGAATGCGGCTTTTTAGATATATCGTGTGCTTCACCCTTATCTCCCCCGCGCTCTTTCTCACCTTTTCCCTGCCCTCCATTCTCTCTCTCTCTCATTCTCCCCGTATCACGCTTGTGCAATCTCTCGCGCAGTTTCCACGACCGGCTCTCCGTGTGTCTACGCAATATATGCGTAATGTGTCTTGCGTCCGCCTGTTCACGTCTCTGCCCTTTACACGAAAAAATTCATTTATCTCCCCCTTTCTCCGCGTCCTGCTATCTGCGATCTCCAGCTTTTTTCGGTTGATTATGGCGATTTTTCTGCTTTTTCTTCCTTTCCTCTTTTTTTTTTTTGCAACCGACGGCTGCTCGTTTAAATACTATTTCGCTATAGTGGACTACCGTTATGAACGCTACGCTACTTTGTATTGTATCCTGTAATGCTTCGTAATGAACGACTGGTACTGAATGTGCATACTGGTGAACACACGCAATCTATAAGGTCCCGTTCCAAGGATACCATACGCGGCGATCGAGCCGAGCGCCTCACGAAAACGACGAGCGCACTCGTTAACGAGCCCCCGCTCGTAGACACTGGCGAGATTTTTAATTAATATTCCAATGTACAACACCACGGACGAGACGCCGCGTCTCATTAATCACGGAGCGCGCCGCGCTCGACAAAATAATCGTCCGTGCGAAAAAGAGTGTCGCAAAAACGGATAGTCGCTATTAAAAACGTGCCGGACAACTTTGATCGGACTCGAAGCGAAATCGATCTACGGATCGAAGTATAGGGATCGGCGTCTCGGAAAGGAAACCAAATAAAATATTATTTTATCTTTTCAGCGGGTTTTTTCGTCATTTTTCTCCTTGGTTAGTTATACACGGAGTATTAATAAAAAAAATTTTGATCCCACTGTTAAATCTGTAGTGTCAAATTTAACTTAATTTAAGTCGCCCCTGTTCAAATACATCGTTATTTTATAGTGTCAAATTTAATCATTGTTTTAGTATAAAATAACGATATATCGAGCAGTGGCAACTTAAATTACGTTAAATTTGATCCTATAGATTTAACAGTGCTCCTGGCGACTTAAATGAGTCCATCGTTTCATGATAAAGACGTCGCGTATGCTAGCCGTGATGTCGAGAGTGTATGGGTCCTGTACGCTCCGATTACAAAATAATATATGCAACGTGAGAAATCACGAATCCGGCTAAGCGTTGCTCCGCCTTCTGTGAGCCTGCTTTCCCGTTCAATTAGTACTCGCGTACTTTGGTTACGGATAGTGTAATCATAGTTTACAATTAACCGCTCTGCGTCCTCCATCCTCGTTAAAAATCTTAGACATCAACATACATTCACATTTTTTTTTATTTTTATAATAAACCGTTATTAGAAACCTATCTCGTATTCGCTATGCACTTTAATATAAATTTCATCGTGTTTTACCGTTTATTTAATCGTTAATTTGTTTATTTACAGTGACGCGTGTCTATTCGAAATTTGCTTTATTCTTTTTTTTTACTCGTTTAATTAATTAATTAATTCATTACAAACCGCGCGGCCATGCTTGTCAACGCGGCAGATATTTTACCTTCGATCTCGAGAAGAGAGGAACAAGTCTTCGTTTTTTTCCCTTTTTTTTTCTTTTAACGCGTGAGAACGCACGCGGCGTGCCCCTCTCGTTGGTGAGACAACCGCGCGCGAGCCTCGCATCCTTTCTTGTTCTCTTGCACACGCACACGAGTGGATGATTACGTAAGTGAAGTGGCATTACCGAACGTAATAGCAGACGGGGAACTCAGACCTCCTCGGGATGGACGTGAAGCGTATCCTGTTCTCGTTTTTTCCTTCTTACTTTTTTTTTAAATTCTACCTCGGACGTTTATTTACACGCGTTTAAATTGCACCGACGGGTCCGCGGATCGCGCGGACCGAAATATAGATCTGACTCGTTAATACAGGAGGCGTCGAATCCTCTCGCGTTACATCTATTTACATACGTTTCTGAACAAACAAACCCATCGCAGATGCGTTCCCTCTATCTGCTGTTAAAAAAATACTTTTTCTTTTCCTCATTCGGGGCAGCAGGACGCCTCACGTCTCGCGGTCTGCGGCACGGGTGTCCGTGGGTATATAACGGTATTGGACGTGATGGATGGATGACGGAAACGAAAAAAGGGGAAGTAAAATAAAAAAAAGAGGGATAAGTTTGCAGTGAGCGACCTTGTCTATTTTCTATATCGAATAATTCGAGTCTATATTATTGTTATAACGTATTCACTTATATCGTCCGCGCGAATGAGTACCATTACGATACGCACAGCGTGTACTGTATGTGATCCATGTACCGTCTCGCCCTTCGCGTGCGAACGATCGATTGAGCGGCGTTATGCTCCAATTATCTTTCGCCGGCACTTAAAGTAAATTCGTGATCGGCTGTTTCGTGACACTTTCACAATTCACGTGACAATACAACTGTGGTGCAACGAACGAGCGCGTCCGTTCGTAAAAGAAATTCGAGGTTCCGTAAAACGTGTTACGTATCTACAACAACTCTGGTTGAAAGATGCCGAAAAGTATCCTTAGTATATTCCCAAATATTTATAATTTAAACGAATATCTAATGGACCATTGAGATGCAACAATTATATATTATTAATGACATATATATATGTATATTAATAAACATATGATTGAGGATGAGTGATGAATTGTGATAATAATTGCATCAGCATATTTCAATCAGAGAAGAATGTTCATAGTATGTTCATAGTATAAATAACATAAATAAGTCATTAATCTGATAAATTCCAAATACAATAATGATTGTCCGCGAATACATCTTACTTAACATTCGCTTATAAACGAGACGTGTGAGTTTTGAATCGACGATCAATTGGAACCATAACAGATTTCATCGACCAGCTCGCTCGTCGCTAATTGCTGTTGCAGCACAACAAAACAGAAGTGAAAAATACAAACCAATGATGGATGGCGCGTGACGCTCAGACTTACAATACTGCTGAACTTTTATTTATTCACAAACGTATTGTTCTCGGTTGACTGCAATTATTCGCTGCTCTCGCGATCGTAGACGCGAATGAGGACGATGAACTATGAATGGACTTTCGAAAGCGAATCGGTCGTGTCGAGTAATCTTCAAAGTAATGATTCTCTTATTTCGCTACTTAAGATTCTGAATGAGGATTTTTTCTTTCATTTTCTCTCACACGCACGCAATCACGCATCCTCTCGCTACGGTACTCATTTCCCGTGTAAATTCGTATTTACAATAATTCATTAGTGCAGTCGCGCTTGCAATTGTATTTTTTTTTTGTGGACACAAACGAAAAATTACTCACTGCTTCGTCTTTCGTCCTTTGCGTGTCGCGGCCACGCACGCACGCGTGGGCGTCATGCAAAAGGTGAATCCACGGGTGTGTATGCGTGAAACATGTACACGCGCAAGTCTTTTTCCCTGGTAATGTGAATAATAAATAAAATAATAAAAAAAAAGGAAAATGTAGAAAAGGATCAATATAAATCGAGAACATGATTGAACTGATTAGGCACCATGTATAGTGTGAATAGAAACATGATTCGTGTACTATACTCTGAACAAAATGAACAACGAGGGAAACAATAAACGACGGGGTGAGAGAGGGTTGGCTCCGGGGGCTCATTCGTGCCGTTATCACCGCTTTATCCCCGGTGCCGGCAGTACGTTAATTTGTTCGCTATTAAATTTGATATTTCACTAGCAAATATAGAATATCGAGTGTTGAATATTCGTTAGCGTAATGATAGCGGATAATAAATATAATACAGATCTATAGATAGAAGTCTCAGTATGATACAGCTATTATACAAATCTGTCTTTTACTCGATTTCGCGATTCAGTCTCTCTCGCACAATATTCTTTATTCGCTCGCTCATTTCTTTTTCTACGCTACTTTTCTTACCCAACGGCTCGAATCAACGATACTATTCGATACGCTATCCTTGACTCGTGACAATGATGCAATTAGATCTGTCATGACAGAAATTCATCTAAGTTCGTGGCTCGCGTCGATTTGTTAATGAGCACATATACTCATATCATCATAATTGCATAATGCACATACACGCGCTCACATTTTCTCTCTGATCCACGCTCTCGCTCTCTCTCTTTCTTTCTCGTTTCATATTATAAGATTTACCTAGAAATACGGCACTCTTTCTTAAATCTCCCCGGCCCCCTTGTTGCCCGTCGGCATACAAGGCGGCCACAAGAGCCACTTGTACATATTCATTAGGAATTTATTTACACGCGTGCTAACTATCCTACTCGCGATCTCGCATGCGAATTCGAATGATCCTTCGTCCTCGGCGTCCTGCGATTGGCCGGGCGGCCGCGGCGATCGGCCCGAACTTAAACGCCGCATGAGAGACACGATTAATCCCAGACGATTCCTCCTGACTTTTCGAGCTTTCGCTCGATACGGATCGTCTGGTCATCGAGGAACTACGTCGCGTCGCATTGACGATTTCGAGTCCAAGTATCTCTATGAGGTTTTTTCGAAAGCCACTCGCGATAGGATCGTGATCATTTTCCACTGGATTGTTACCGCCTTGGCCGCGAACCGAAAGCATTCAAGGATTTTCAGGTACTCTTTTCTCGAGGCACGGCGCGCTTACGTGATCGCGCTCAGGATAAACTATTTCCTTGCCGGCCCCGAGCGAGGACCCCTTAACGAAGGACCGTTCGTCGTCGACGGCTGAGCCCATGCGGCATTTTTCCATGAATTAAAGATTCGCTCGAATTAATGACGTGCGATCTGACGTTATTCGCGTACATAGGCTTGCTATACTATATACTAATATATAATAGACGTCCTTCTCTCGCGTACATTTCTCGCTCTCGGTCGAGGATACTTAGCACGCTGCCACGACTCCTGCTCACATCTCTTTCTCTCATATTCGAATAAATACCTACAGTTAGCGTAATGATAAGAAGGACAACCAATACGACTACCATTTATAGTAGTGATAATAGTGGGCGTGTACTATAAGTAGTGTCTAGTAGTAGCGCTTCTCTTTCCGTCTTTTCTTCTCCGCTTTCTACTTCCCGTCCTATTCCTCGTCTTCATCCTTCTACGGTATTCCACTCTAGAGAACCCCGCTAGTTCTTTAATTGTAGTTAATATGGCGCTGCCGCTCGTGTGTCGTGCGTGTCTCTTCTCTTGACGTGTCTCTTCTTTTTCGTCTTTTTTTCTCTCTCTCGTTCTCTCTGTCTTTTTCTGTCTTCTCTGCTATCTCTCGAGTCGGCGCGACCATGGATCGTGCGTGTTTCACTACGATCGAGGGACGGCCGAGATACGCGCGTGTCTCGCGCGCCTCTCAAGAAATCAATTAAACGTAGGATAATCACAGAAGAAGGGGTTTCGACGCATGGGATATACGACGTTCTCGTACGTGGCTGGTACTGTCGCTTCACCGCAGCAGCTGCTGCAGCAACGCGCTCATCAGTAGGCTACCTGTCGCTAGGATTAGACTTGTGTACCGAACTTGCGTACGAGCGTACGAACTTGCGCTGTTGTACGTCAGCTCCTCATTCTTCACCACCTCGTTCGGATGATCCGAATATTCCTCTGTGAAACATAAAAGCAACACAATTATTAACCATTGATAAGATACACGACAGTGGAGTATCAAGAAACATAGATTTTATAAGTTGTTAGTAATATTAGAGAGACGTTTTTCTTGAGAAAAAAGATTGAAAAATGAAGGATGAAAAGTAGAATTATCTATAACTATACATTTTATTCTTTTTTTTATCCTTTTTCTTTTTTAAATAAACTCCATTGCATCATTCAAGTTCGATATTCATAGAGTCTTATAATTAAAAATCGTTTTAAGTACAACCTCTGGTTGCCACAGAAAATGAATTTTAAAATTCCCTGACTTTTCCAGATTTTCCGGACAAAAATGAGAAATTTTCATGATCGATATAAAATATGTTAAAATTTTAATATTATAAAATATGTAAAAAATTTTAACATTTAGAATGAAGGATGTAAGAAAGCTAGTTTACATTATTAAAAACGCAAAAGAAGCTTAATAGCATAATAAAATTTTGAAGGCAAATTCAAGCCAACAAAAATTAATTAGTATTGGAAAAAAGAATGCAGTTATGACGAAAAAGAGCGATCAAATAAAATTATTGAATAAAATATAAATTTTAATTATTTAAAAAAAAATCGTTTAAAGTGCACGAGTTTTGAACGTATTTGACTATAAACGTCAGATATAATATTTAAAAAATTATAAAAATTATTAGGAATAGGAGCAGTTTAAGGGAATTGTGAGCAAAATTCAAAATTCCAATCTCTTATATTTTCCCCTAACTTTTCTCGATTTCCATGGTTAATTTCAATTTCTCTGACTTTTCCCGATTTTCCAGATCTGTGGCAACTCTGAATTTCTTTTAAGATATTATAAGTCAATCACAGATTCGTATTAGTATCTTATGACATTACTTAAAACGGTTTTAAAATAAGAAAAATTAATTAACTTAATCAAATTTTTAAGAAGACAAATTAATTTTTTCAACCTTTTGTATGTATGTTTTAATTCGCGATAGAGATGAGGGATTTGCCAATGAGACTATATCTTGAGATGTGCCGCCAAGGAAATCCTTGTGTGGATGTTCAAGTTGCATTTCAAATTTTAATGGTTATTACCACATGCGGAATCACGAGAGAGAAATGAAATCCCTGGCAATTTCGTGTCGACACCTTGGCAACGTGTATTCCCTATCGTGTCGCGTCTCGGAAACACGGCACCGTTAATGTGTGAGCGGTTATCCACGCACGGCTTATCGGTGAAATGCAAATGCGCGCGTACGCGGCACATTTAGAAGTCAAATTATATCGTAGACGTCAATGTAAAGAAGGGCGTGCGGTGCAAGGATCGACAGATGGCTTTCGTTCGGTTTTCATTCGATTGGATCTTGACATTGTGTTTTGCCGACCTTCCACCTGGCATATGTAGAAGCGCGCGTATTTACGGCGCGTATTTGCAACTAAATGCAGCGATATGGCTTTTAACGTATCTCGCGCACAAATGTGACGTCAAATAAATACGTAAACCTGTCTCTCTTTATTTTAAGAAATAATTTGTGATTGAACAAGAATAAGGAAATCCTCGTGTCAGTTATGAATTAAAGAGAAAATGAGCTAGAATGAGCGCGAAACGTGGAATAATTCGGAAGAACATAATTTACAACTGACTACTAATATTGATAATAACTAACGAAGATTATCATCATTATTACCTATTTCTACTATAATTTACTCTGGATGTGCCGCAGATAGCTTAGTATTATGTAGATATAACCGTTCGTTCATCATAGACATTCATAGAGGGAAGTGCAATGTGTGCATTAAAAGAAATTCAACTGATACAGCGAACATTGTCAATACTTCGACTGTCAATTAATTTGAAACGGTTATCAATACCGATGTATCTTATTTCCATAAACTTTCCAAATTCTTTCGAATGGAATCTCATTCTAAAGAGTGAAAATTGAGTTATTCTTGGAAAAGAGTGGTTCAATTTTCGATCTTTAAGAGAGAAATTTCACTCTTCAGAGTAAGATTTACTTTAAAAATTTTAAAGAATACGTATGATTAAACTAGTGCTTCTTAAGCAAACAAAAAAAAATCAGCAATGGATTAATCCGATTTTCATGAACTAATCGATGACTCTATCGATTACCAAAGTACGAATCGCTACTAATTGATTTGGATCAAATATAAGGCACAAAAGTGAGCCGTTGCGTGTGAGAAAGTGCTTCGAAATGATAATTCATCGAGCAGACGAAACAGGCAGATAGACAGACAGGCACGCAGCGTGCAACGGTGATGACGTGATACGTACTGTTCTTCTTCTTCTGACCAGTCGAAGTCTTGGGCGGCGTGATCGAGGACGGCGATCCATTGTGAATTGGCGGCTGCGGCTGATGCGGATGCACAGGGTAGATGGCCGGTGAGGGTACATGAGGCAGGGTCGGCGCCGCCGTGCCTGGTTGATGTGGATCGAGATCGATGCTGATCTCCGGGTAGAATCGATCTCCGCCCCTGTAGACGATCGGCGGGGCTGGCAGACCGGCGGCGGAGCCGCCCAAAACCGCGGTGCTTGTCGAGCTGCTGCTGGGCACGGTGCTGCTGGTCACGGCTACGGCTGGAAAATGGACGACATGGTATTAGATGATTACGCTTCAGTTCTTCTCTGTACTCTATGCCCAACTCGATCGCGAGCCGCGCGTAAGAGTACGTACAATAATTCAGGATATATCGTTTTATCCTTGTTGTTCACCGAATGTTAAACAAGGATAATCGAATATAGCCCAGAGTCTAGAAATAACCGGCGACGGTTGAAGAACGAATTAGCTTCTACATGACTTAGTAGATTGAAAGGAGAATTCGTATCGTTACGCCGAAACAGCCGCTTGAAGCATGACGCTTGAATATCTTATCGCTGAGAACATCTTAGAAACTTGGAACGGTGTTGGTTCTTCACCAATACTCATTCGATTTCAGTACGATTATATGAGTAGGAAGAATCGTATTGCGAGTGTTAGTAAATAATTATATATTTTTTTTTAAAGAAAGGGTTTGTGTGCAGTACGTTGATTATAAAAATGTTTATTTAAAAAAAAATAGTATCATATACTTCGAGAAAGTATTTGATATTATTGCAAAAAAGGTTTAATTTAAAAAAAATTATTTTAAAAAATAATTTAAAAAAAATATATGTATTATTTCAACGTATAAAAGAACTTGTATACATTTGAATGATAACCATGAAGATATAGAAATAAATCTTTTTTGCAAATTTGTATAATATGTATAAAATGATTTCACATTTTCGATTTTCTTAGTCATACTAAATATTTAAATTTTACAATATAAAAAACGGAATTTCTTTTAATCTCAAAGATAAACGCTGTTAAAAACGTGAAAAAAAAATTCTTAAATCGGTTTTAATGTAGAAAGAAGTACAGATAAATTTCAGAAACTGTGATTAAATGCAGCGAGAAGCAACCTTCGTCATCTTCACACTTTCCCATCGCGAAGGCCCGCGCCGATAGTCCCCGCGTTATTCTGAGCGCACAACTTGGCGCTGTACCTGCTAACCCCTCGGAAATAAAACTCGCGGCCGAGGAGGTACACGCACCCCCCGGCGATATAATTGTGTGGAAGTAGCCGCGCGCGAACTCTCGACGTCTACCGTGAACGCGAGGTCGAGTCTCGCCATGGAATCTTCAATGCCCGAGATGCCACGGAGAGAGAAAGAAAAAGAGAGAAAGAGAGTGAGAGAGAGTTCAGAGTTCCCGGCCGGCAAAATAGCTGGTCATTATGGCGCATGAATCGTCTCTGCTGGGGCGGAGGTGGCAGGAAGAGAAAAGAGGACCAGGGGTGGGGAGGCAAGAGGGGAACCGAAGGAGCGGGAGGACGCTTCGAGGATGCTTCGGAACGAATTGGGGAGAGAATAGCGGGGCGAAATGAAATGGTAGAATTTATTGTGCCCCGGGACACAGAATTGGTCCCCCCGGCCGGGCATCAACAAATGATGCACGGTGAGAATTATAATCGATAGGGATTATTTAAGAGAGAGATGACGGACGACAGGAGGAGAGATAGGAGGATAGACGAAGAGGAAATGAGCTCGAAAGAATGGCGAACGAACGAGTACAGTTTGTTATGGTAGCTGTTCCTCTCACGTAACTGTTTACGGGATAATGAATTTATAGACCATTTCTGTTTCGTGCTCCTGATTCCTCTTTTCATTCTGTTTTTTTTTTTTTTCCCCCCCGGAGTATGTATCTTCGGCAGAGATCGTGCGGAACGAGAAAGCGTGAAGAGTTAAGAGTGTGATTTACACGCGGAATGAAAAGGCGGTGTCCCTCATGCAAACGACACCTGTAATTTTAGATTATGATAATTGAGAAATTAGAATATAATTGCCGCGCGGATTGTGCCTTCCATGGGAAGAAGAGCCTGCGTTTCGGGTACCGTTTCGCAGGCGATGCAATGCAAATGAAGAAATGCACGCGAGTGAATTCGCACAACGAATCGTCACGCGAATTGTTCGCGGAGGATAAGTTTCCGCCTCTCGGATCTTGGAGAACAAAGGAAATCCGTTTCTATTCGATATCCAAAAGTTCTATTTCGGAATTAAATAGAATTTTATATTCTCTCTCTCCTATATTATTACAAAAGTCTGGTTGCATTAAATGCATTGAATTCTGGTAGGTTCAATCATAAAGAGGCACTTATAGTTAAATCAATTAAATTCTAATCGAGATAACCATAAAGAATAATTTTTCTGAAATATCTAAAAAATTAATTTAAATTTATTTTTTTTAATTAACTTAAATGTTTAATTAATTTAAAAACTAATAGCGAATTCGATTGGAAGCACTAGTGCGCACTGATGCACATTAAAGCCGTTACACACTGATTTAATTTGAATATAAAAATGAAATGCAAATATTTTGGATTATGAAATATTTTACCTAATAGTACAATAAAATGTATTGAGTATTTCACGATTTAATCGATTTTTATATTTATTTATAAATATATCTTTACATTATTTTGTGTACGACGGCTTTAATGTGCACCAGTGCGCACTAAGTGCGTCCAATCGAATTCGCTATTAGATTAGATACAGACTTAAAAATAATCTTATTAGACCAAACAAAACATTTGCATAAAAAACAGCATAATGAGTAATTTTATAAAAAATTTAGATATTCTAACAATTAACTTGAGCGTCCTCATAATTATTTTGATGGTTCAACATTTATTTTCAAATCTGTATCTATAGTTAAATTTTTTAATATTTCAATAAAACCATTCTTTTCATACAGAAATTTAATTACGGTAACAGAAATTCTGATTGGTATGATCAGAATGCATTTTGGTTGTATTTGGGTGACTTTTGCTGGTACAATCAAAACATGTTTCTCAGTATAATGCTTACAAGCATTTCATAAATAAAAAAAATTCTGCTTTAATTGAAATTAGAACAATTTTCCTTTCTCCTCATAAATCAGCTTTTGTACTTTTTGCATGAATTCATTTTTTCATGATATATTTATCCTGAATACTTACAGTTGTTGCGCGATGTCGCCGACGAAGAAGCCTCGGCCTCATTGCTGCAGCAGACCTTGAAGACGACCTTCATGTTGTGGCTGGTGCACCGTCCGCCGATGCGCCTGTGAAGGTCGTCCTTGGACGAGGTGCTGATGAAGTAGTAATCGTGGCCCGGGAGGAACTCGAGGCCCCCGGGTTGCGGCGTGAACGGCCTAAACGTGATGGTGAAGTACATCGTTTTGCGCGGCTTGTCACACACTGCTATTACCCGCGGACTCGGGTTCGTTATCCGACATGTTTCGTACTCCTCCTTGGACACCTGCAAAACGCCCAAGAGAAATCTTGCGGTCAATTGCGACGGTATAATCGATCGGCGACACGGGACGACACGCGGATCGGCGACACCGATCGCTGATTGACTACTGTGAAAGGTACCATCTTAGCGTTTCCCCCCCCCGGCGAACTGATTCTCGTGCTCTTCAGCAGAAGAGGGCTTCATTGTCGGAGCTAATCGTCGCGTAGGAAGAACGGCGGAGACAATGGGACAACGGATGGCGGAGAGTGGAGGGACAATCAAGTGGATCGAAACGATTAGGTCGCCGACGACGCAGGAATGGTCTTTGGGAGGTTTTGCTTTGCTCAGAGGGTGGACGCCACCGGAATGTTTGATGGTGTTCATGAAAGCCGAGAATCTGCCGCGGTATCCAGAATTGGGAGAATGAACGTTTGTAAAAACGTATCAATCGGGAATGCAGTGTCAGATTTTCATCTTGGTATTAGCGACAGTTTTTTTTATCAGAATTAACTTTTAGCCAAAAATAATCGGAAAAACCTCTGTGGCGAATAAAAATATTTCAAATAAGCGGCAAAAAATAATCAACTATAAAAAAACTAATTTAAAAAGTACAAAAAATATAGAACTTAATCTTTTTCATCTGAAAATCACGCATTGAATCGAATTTAAAAATAGAGAAGGAGGCCGTGAGATTGCCCAATGTACTTATAGATATACGTCCAATATTTCTTTCGGTTTATCAATAAATCTACGTTTCGGTAGCACGGTACGCTTACTGAAGAACGGATGTCGTTTTGGATATAATAGAAGCGGGTTAAAGAACCAGTTTCAAGTAGCAGCAGCTGTCTAAACATTCGCAGACTCCGATTGACAATTTGTTACGCCCAATATGACGGGAGTTGTCATAGACGTCACACGTTATGGTTTTGCATCTAATAAATGCATTCTCGAAGAGGAAGGTTGCATTAATTTGGCTATCGGATATTAAGATAAATATTAAACATAAAATTAACTTAAGTAAAAATTAACTTACGTTATAGATGATGTACTTCTCAGCATCGTCATCAACATACGTGTCCGGCGGATACACAGGACATATTATATTGACTTGATCGTACTCGAACATTGCGTTGTTTTTGTTCACGTCAATTATGTGATCTGTGTTGTCTATTCGAAATCTGTAACATAAAAATCAATAAGAAGAGATTAATAAAATTCTTGATTAAGGGAACAATTTTTATCTATGACGCTGCGCAAACATAAATTTATCTTATTCTAATACCAACGATAAGCAAGAGTTTCATCACATTTTACGTTTATTCGATGAACTTTCCTTATTCGATTGTTATCTATATTGGGATAGTAGATAGAGATACGTCTTTAAATAAAATGATTACTAGCAAATGCATGTTTGGAGAAACTACACATCAAAATTTTTACACATGATTTGCTGAAAATATATCTCTTTTAAAGTCTCGGAAGCATACAGCGAACGCTTCTCGAGGAAGATCATATTTCTCGCAGACTATGGCGATGCAGCGCATACCGTCGTTTCCGTGCAGCAAGTTCCAGGACTATCCGTGAAACATTCGCGAGATGCCGATGCCTCCGGTGGAGTCAGAGGGGAGAAGCGAGAGGGACTACAGAGACCAGCGTCCCTACGGCCTGTCGGTAGCCAGGTCAAGAAAGGGAGAAAAAGAAAAGACGCGGACTCGCCCTCGTAAGCACCCAACGTCAGATAGGCAGGCGCCCATGGTGTCGAAGCATCGCGCAAGTGTACGTACCGGCTCTTGTACAGGATGTCTCAGAAACAAACGCACGATTCCCTTGAATCGGCAACTTTCTCGCGAACAAAATGAAAATTTAAACGACCATTCTCTTTTCCAATATTTTTCGGTACTGATGTCTAAATAATTTAATTTTATATCGTGCTGAGATAGAAATGTATACAAAATTAAATAAGAGATCCAGTCATTTTAATCACTGACAAGTCGAACGTTATTGACGCTACTACATTGAAGCGATCACGGTTTCGCTTGACTTGGCACTTTCTATCCCGAGCTTGAACACCCTATACATTTACGCGTGCGAGTATACGCTTAGCCTAGCGATCGCATACACGTGCACACATACGCGCGCGCGCGTCATTGCATTATGTAGCGGCGGGTTCGCCGATCAGGGTACTCGGGGAGGATGGAAGAACGAAAGGTCGGCGGATGAGCAGTGGAAGAAGAGGAGAAGGTGCAGAGAGAAGAGGTGGCGGACGGTTCCTATATAACCGGTTCTTACCGCGAGCACTCTTGCACACGCTAATACGCGCTCCGTAAGTCGAGGTGTACGCAACAGTGACGTCTCCCTATTCCGCGTCGATCTATTTCATATTCGCGAATCGGCGAAAACTGCACTGTCATTCAATAAAATTATATAAGTCGCAAAGAAACTCGATAAAAATTAAAATTCCATACATTGAAAAAAAAATGTACTAAATTTTAATAGATATTTGTTCGAACAGTACTAACTAAACATTTACAGTAAATAAATATTTACTCAATAAAAAATTATACTTAAATCAAATTAATGGTTCTTCTTGTATCAAATAAATATATGTTTATACTATTCGAACAAATATTTATTAAAATTTAATTTTTTAATAAATTTTGTTAAATCATCAAAATAATTTATGCGTGTAAGATATTAATAATTTTGATAATTCAAGAAAATTATTTTCAGATCTATGTCTTGTAAAATTTTTAGATACTTTAGTAAAATCATTCTTTCCGTGTATTTTATAATATTGCATGTTATATTAATATACTTATAGAATATTTTACATATTTATCTGTAAACCTACTTAACGCTCGTTGCTTATATCATTATCTATTTTCAAGCAAAATATCCTCTGAAAAATATTTATATTTTATGCATACACGAAGATACCTTGTCTCGTTACTGGCGGTCTGTGATTTCGTCGAACGGTATTGCATATTTCACCGCGTTGCAAACGTTGGGCGTTGTGCCGTTTTTTACTTACGCGAGCCTCTCGATTCCTCGTTCGTTCGACGTTTAAGCCGTTTATAGATGCACGCACTGTCGAACGCGTCTACTTTTTGCGCGTGCATCCACGAGCGCGTCCAAGCCGCGATGTGGAGCTTTACACGGGTATAACCGTATTTATTCTCGGTCTCTCGTTCTTTCTTATGTACATTTGCCTTCGCGCTGGTAGCGCACAAGTTTCTTACGTGTTTAGAATTTATCCGAGAGCTGGCAACGCGTACACATTGCACGCATGGTAAAGTGTGCAGGTATTTTTGTTGCTTATTCTCTCTCATGCTATCTCACGTGCGCTTCCGCGGTTGGATCTCGTACAATCCGGCCACGGACGATATGAGCCGCAAATCGTACTTATCTTTTTCCCTGTATTTAAGGTTTTGTTATCAACCTTAATTCATCTCCTCAATATCAAAACCGTACGATATATTTTATTATTTCTCTGAGAAAAATATCTGCTTGAAAATAGACGAACCAGAAAATTCCGATTATATCAGAATTCTCAGATTATCTCAACTAGAATTTAATAGGTTTAACCAGAAAATTCTAATTCGTCTATTTTCAACTAGAATTTCAGGATTTTAATTCAACCAGACAGTTTTCTCAGTGCTCGCAGGTAAAGGATAGAATTCTTTTAATAAGATTTAAATAAACAATTTTAAATAATTCTATTCAAGTCTGTTGGACAAAATTTCTGTCCTATTCTTTTATTGAATTTAGGTGTTTCGTTAAGTTTGTTTTCCTGATTATGAAAATATAGATATGGAAAAACCGACAATTTTGGATTTATCCCCTTTTGTTCTTAGTTGTTGGATTCTGATAAAATTGTTATTTTTTATATACATACAATTTTTGTCTTTGTTGTGTGATATTATCCCCTTTTATTCTTAGTTGTTGGATTCTGATGAAATTATTTTTTTTTATATACATACATTTTATTATAAAATTGAATTCGCCTCCTCGATATTAAAATATAACATATATTTATAATTTCGCATATGTATAAAATTATATCCTTTAAAATTATATTATTATTTTTAATACAATTTAAATAAAATTTTCGGAGCTTTGATTTATTTCGTCCTACATTTCGTTAAGCTTGTTTTTCTGATTATAAAAATACAGACATGACGAAACCGATAACTTTGGATTTACTCTCTTTTGTTCTCAGCTACAAGATTATGATGAAGTAGATCGATCGCAAATTTGTCAAACGATACGAACCACAAATTTGATACAAACCACAAATTTGATATAAAGCTCCTCACACACGAGAGAAATAAGCATTTCTCACGCGCGTGTATGGATCACGCTTGTCACGGGAGACGTGCACGACGACGCTGTTAGAGGGAAATGCGGGCGTCGAATATTCGCGTCCCGACGTTTCGGAGCGTTAACGGACAATCTCATAAGTGGGCGTGTAAGGGCTCGAAAATTGGAAGGTAGGCCGGACCTCGGCCAAATTAACGTTTGGCGATAATATCCGTTCCCTCTCGCTCGTCGTCTCTCTCCTTCTCTCCCTTCCGCTTTCTCTCCGCTATATCCTCCATTCTAGGGTCGATCGAGCCCGGTACTCTAAGCGCAACAACGACCCAAGAGCGTGCGTTCACGAGGACTCCCGGACACGCGTACCTACGCATGCATGTGCGTGCACACGCGGAGGCACGTGTGAGAGTCGCGTGGGCGTATAGGACGTTTCGTTCACGGTGTGGCCACTCACGAATTTATTAGAGACCGTATATGTACGTGGCAGCCCGAATTACTCGTGATAAAAACGTATCGTTCTCCTTTCGCCTCGTAGTTCCTCGACTCCCCCGTGTCTTCGAGAAGAGCGAAGCAAGAGCAAGAGGTTTCCACGTCGTCGTCGTGGATAATGTACGCGGAGGTGGCGATACGAACGAGAGCAGCTTTATCACCGTTTTCGCCGAAACATGTAGTCTCAAACGTGTTTAACTTTTCGCCCCGCCCGCAACGTTCGGTTCCTCTCTCTTTCTCTCTCTCTCTCTCTCTACGGTGGACTTTTTACTTGTCTGATTATTGCCATCGCCAGGTTAGGGACCCGACGAGTGGCCCCATCGCGTCTTCCTCTTAATCGCGAAAGTTCGACGGTAATCCGGCCTTTTTCCGTCGTCCCGCCGCTCTGGCGTGTTGGCGTTCTTTTTCCCCTTCTTTCTCGAACATCACGGGTACCACGAGCTATAAAAGTAAGATCGCCACTCACTCTTTCTGTTCTCCATTCTCTTCTTCTAGTCGACACAAAGAACGACTCTTCTATACGTACACATCGGTCGCGTCGGCCGGATGTGTTATTGGTAGTCCCGATGTGTGATTTAAAGGATCTTCCTCCGAGGAACGATGTCATTTGCATATACCTACGTATTCGTAGGATCTCTCGAGTACCCTCGTATTAATGTGATACCTTGCCTCGATTCTTAACAGTTCTTTTCTGGCCTTAGGTAAACACTCGGCATGAATATGTATGCCACCTCGCCGGTGACCCGTCCCGAGATTTGGAAGTAATACGCAATGGACATCGAGCCCTTTTTCAGTCGCATGTCTCCATGCGATCGTCATATAGGATCGTCTTAATGATATATTATTGAGCGCTTGTATTATTCGGTGATTCTCCGTCAACCCGGCGTTGCAACAGAGAATAACGGTGCGTCGGATAGTAGGAAAACGTGATCGCCATCTCCCTATTGATGCAGGTAGCTAAGTATGAGATATCGCTGGCTGGGGGAACATTATTTACGATTTAATGCGGGATTATCGGTTTTAATTCTATTCAAAGCCAGAGAGTTCCTTTTTAGACTGTCTCGTAAAATAATAATAATCATATGCTAACCGGTTGTTAGTTACGTAGCTTAATCCTAATATTTTTCCGATAATCGTGGCATGCAGCATAAATATGAGACATAAAAAGTTGAAAGATAAATGGAATATAATAAATTTAAAATAATGTGAACTGTTGAAAAAATAATTTTAAAGCCAAGCGAAAATGTTACGCATAATTTTTAATATTACATTATCTGCACCGAGAGACATAGGTTGAATACGAGCAGCAATCTTCAAAATGATTTCCGTACGAGTGCAAAGTGGATTTGATCGTCGACACCGCGCCATAACACTC